CAGAGCCCTGCCCGCTCCCCACCCCTCCGCGCCCGGCGGCCGCGACCCTGCCCGGCCTGGGGAGCCCTGCGGCGGCGGGCGACGCCCAGACAGCTGCCCGTCTGCTTCGCATTAGAGCGCGTGGCCCTTTAAGAGCCGCCGCCCGCCGCCCTTTGAAGTCGCTGGCGGGAGGCTCCCAGTGGCGAGATCTGAGGCCGTTTCTGCCTCCCCGAGGCCACGTGCGGTCTCCGGGTGGGGGGCGGTCACGTGGCCGGCGGGGCCTCGGGCCAGGCCACGGTGCTGGAGCAGGGAGCTCAGCAGCGCAGGGCCATGGCCAGCTGCCGCCAGGGTGGGGGCCGACCTGCGATGGGGGGGGCCCACCCCACGCCCCTTTCCTGTCTCGGGGCCACCCCACCTCAGTGGCCGGGCACTGACTCCCACGGTCCCAGGGTGGGGTGCCCCCCTCCCCTGTGGCTGACCCCAGGCTGCCCCTTCCAGGCCTGCAGAGGACACCTAGCCCTGAGGGGACCCCGGGAGCTGTCTTGGGGGCACCCCCGACCCCCTCTGGCAACTTTGCTGTCAAAGCCCAGGATCTGAGGCGGCACTGATGGGGGGCCGTGGGGGGGCTCCCCCATGCCCCTGCCCTCATAGCTGGAGAGGCTCTTGGGGGGGTCTTGTCCACTTCCCTGCCCCCTTGGGCTGCAGAGGCCAGTAGCTGGAGCCAGGCTGCCGGGATGGCGGTGCAGACAGCGGGGTCCAGGAGGCTGAGGCGGGGCACCCCGCGCCCTGGCGGGGGGGGCGCACACCGACCGGCCCGCCTTGGCCCTCACAGGGCTCCCACCGCGCCCCTCCCGCACCAGACCTCGGCCAGTGCGGGCCCCACCTGCCCACGGGCCCGGGGCTCTGCCGGGCAGCGCCAGGACGAGGCTCCCCTTGGGGCCCTGTTCCCCCTGCGGCTCCCTCCCCAGAGCTCCAGGCCCCCCAGGCCTGGGCCAACCACCGGCCCCTGGAGCAGGGCGCTGCGACCCCTCCCAGCCCACCTGGCGGCTGGCCGACCTCTGGCTCTGCGGTGGCCGGCCGAGGGCAAAGGTGTGCGGCTGGCGCCTCGCCAGCCCGCTGTCGTGGCTGAGTTTTGTGGCGGCTTGTTATGTTGTGAAAGGCGCGTAGGTTTTGGGGGTTGATGTTTTGGGAAGTAACATCGTGTTTTGTATAAAGCAAACAACGCGGGGCGAGCAGTCCACCAGACAGTGCTGGCCGAGCACCAGCGTCATGGACGTGAGCATGGCCACGCCCCGGCAAGGCGCCCTCGCCAGCGGTCACTCGGCCGGGGCAGGCAGCCCCAGCGTTCGCCTCCTCTGGGCCTGCAGCAGACAGACGTGGTGTGGGCCGGGGCTGCGTGGCCCCTCTCACCGAGCTGCTGTAGCCCACGCCAGAGCTTCGTCGTTGTTCAGGGCCGAGTAATATTCCACCGAGCCACTCGACCCCGCCGGCTCCGGGTCTGAGGCTCCTTCCCAGCTGCTGGTGGCTGTGACCTCGGCCGGGGGCTTGGGCTGGGGAAGGCCAGTTGGTGGCTTCTCAAGCATAGGCCTGGGGACAGGATTCCTGGGCGATGCGACGAGCCAGGTTTTCTGAGGACCCGCCGACCACCCCTGGCGCCTCCGCTGTCTGTGCTCCTCCTCGCCCACACTTGTCCCCCCGTTTTTCATTCAAGCCATCCTGGCGGGGGTGAGGGGCGCCTGACTCATTGCTGACCCAAAGCCCAATGCCCTCTGGGCTAGGCGGGCAGCCTGGGGGCAGGCCCTGGTCGGCATCTGGGCCACCAGCTGTGGGAATGAAACCTCGAGGGGAGCAGCGGCCGTGCGGCGGGGCAGTGGGGA